TATATATATATTTGAAAAATGGTTTATTCCCAGCTTTGTTCCAAAAAGGATTGAAGGAAGCAAGTAAAGAAATGTATTTGCAAATACCTCTTATTGCCAATGCTCAGATAAGTACATCGGACCTTGATTACAACTTCACTTTTTCTCGGGATGACTGTGCTCATTAATTAATAACCAGGCAAACGAAACATGTTCCTGCGCCATAGAGGAGACTGGAGTAACCCACAGAAAAGCTCTCATTTTGAGCACGATCTGCCTAGTGAAGTTGACCTGATCACCCAGATTCTCAAGGACTGTGACCCCAAAAGGGCTTTAAACTCTTTCCGAAAATTTCTAGTACAGACTATTTATAGGAGTGAAACATTCTAAATTTCAAAATGTAGTTTGTTGAAAATAAACCCCACCCATAATAAAAAAGGTGAAGAGGAAAAATTCCATCCTGTAACTACAGGTTTCTCTGCATGGAAGTCTAGCATCTTCCTTCTCGTTCTTCTTGCTTTTTTGTATTTTTTGTCTTTCTGTATTTTGTAGAATAAGTATGTAACATCAATGAGAAAGACATCAAAACAACTCATTTAAGATGATGTATGGAAGTAGAGTCAAAAAAGCTTAATTTCCCTTAACTTTGGTGTTTTTTGTGTGTCTACTTTATTATAATGTTGTATCCCCTTAAAGTTCCCTTCATTCTTCATCCATGAATTCTGTCACTTCTTCTGACTATATCTTACAGTGATTTATTAAACCCAAGACTTTATCTGAGTTCAGGAGCAGAAGTTCTTAGCCTGGGGACATAAATTATTCCTCTGAGACTATGTATAATAATGTTCCTTTTCTAGGGAGAATATGCATAGTATTTCTTAGAGACTTAAAGAAAACTGTAATAACCATGAAATAAAAACTCATGTTCTGAGACCAGCTTTGCTGTGCTTCCCTGGACATAAGGAGGCGATGACATTTGGAGTAGAGAGGATAGCCCAAACTCCTCAGCGTGAAGGGGCCACAGCGACTGTAGACCCACCCTCCCTTTTTGACGACATATAGTAGGAGCTGGATGCCTGTTGGCTGCCAGCAATAGCACTGAAGAGAACTCAAAATGAAGGGGAGATTTGAAGTGACGGAAATCAGAAGTCCAACAAAACCATTACACTATTGCAAGCACTTGCAGCATTATCTTGCTTTTCATTTTAGCAATGTTTAAAGACATTATTGATTGAGGCGAAAGTCACATAACGTAAAATTAACCATTTTGTGGCGTTTAGCAAATTTTAGATTTCCTTTTATGTATTCTGGCTTAAGATTCTTAAATAATATTATCATAAGCCTAAAGGGCCATGGGATGCTAGTTATCATGATTGCTTCATTGTTTAATTGCTCTGAGGGTAAAGCAAGCCTATTTTTTTTTTCGAGGACTTGGACACCACAGCACTTTCCTGGGCATTGGTCTATGACACGCAGGCCAGGAATTCCTCATCCTCTCCTTAGTGCTGGATCCCGCTTCCTCAGTGGGGAGAAACCCAGGCTTTTAAAGCTTCTGGTCATGGAAGACTGTCCATTTCCCGCCTCTCCTCTTCCTCCAAACTAGAGCTCAGAACAGGCCAGGGACAAGGCAGTTGTGCGGACAAGGGGACGGAGAGACATGTCTTTGTGCAGCTCTAGGAGAGCCACAGTGGCGTGCAGTGTGCTCATTCACCGCTGGGGTGCCTGCCGAGCCGGGTTCAAATCCCAGCTCTGCGGCTCACCGCCTGTGTGTCCTTGGGCCCATTATTAACCTCTCTGTGCCTCTGCTCCCTCCTCTGGGGGACAGCGAAAATTAACTGTGCTTAGGGTGTTTGGTTTATAAAATGAGATCATGGAAGTAAAAGCACTTAGCATAACATCAGGTGCATAACAAGTACTACAAAATATTAGCTCTTGTGACTTTTATCCTGCTCCTCCTCATCGACATTTTGATTGGCACAGGCATGGAGCTGCATATCTCAGGGTCGACTTAGTGACCCCACAGCCCCCACGAGCAAATTCAACTCATCGTCTAGATGTGGAGGCTGCGCTTTCTGGGGAACCGACTGGGAAGTGAGTCCTGAGCAGGGCACCCAGCGCTGTGATGACCGGGGTTTCACACAGCCCCTGTTACCTGGCAAAGTCAGAGCAGCAAAGGCAAGAACCCTCCTCCCCCTCCTCGCCACCCCAAACCATGACTGGGGCTGGTAGAGCTCAGGCTACAATCAACAGCTTCCAGAAAGTGACCGAGCAGCTTGCACCTGTTTTTCTAACAGAAACAAGCAAAACGAACCTCTTCCGTGGCTTCTTATCAACTTATTCCACTCCGAGAATAAGGTTCCAGGAACCTCTACTCAAAACTACAACTTATTCCACTGACCTCTGAAACATACACCTGGGAGGGACTTCTGGGGAGTGGTGAGGCCCAAGCCACCCTAAAGCCAGCACCTGTGACCTCGCACACAGCCCGCACAGCCGACTGTTTTGTCTTTCACACTCAGCAGGGCTCCTCCGCTGAGGCTGTCAGGGGTTTGGGAAGCTCTGGGGCCCAGTGGGGTTGGGGGCGAGCGCCAGAGATGGTCCCCCCCCCCCACCCCCACAGCCACTCACCCATGAAGTAGGCGGTGGTCTTGCAGACAGCGCTGCCGAAGATGAAATCCTTGAGCAGGTTGGGGATGAGGTTGAAAGGCATGCAGAAGAGGCAGAGCATGAGGTCGCTGACGGCCAGGGACAGCAGAAAGATGTTGGTGACGGTCCTCATCCTCTTGTTCCGAATCAGCACCGTGATGACCAGGGTGTTCCCCAGCACGCTGAGCAGGAATATCAGGGAATACAAGAGAATCTGCACGGCCGGCTGCCACTCTGCAGGGGGGAGCAGGGACAAGACGGAGAGATGGAGGTGATCAGAGCAGAATGTTAAAACCTCAGCACATGAAGCCAACGCTTATTTCCTCCTGATCCCCCCCCCCCACACACACACACCCACACACAGGGGTGTGATCATTTGATTCTGCTGCTTCTTAAAGGTTGGTTTGTGCAAGGATCACTCAGGGAACCACTTTTTCTTAAGAACAAAGCTCCCCAGGGAGAAGGGATGGCTTTCTTTCAGAGCCGCTGAGCGTTAATCACTTCTTCACGCCGGATTTGCCCCAAGAAAAGGGGACAGCTGGCTCCTGACAGCACCTTTTCTGTGACGCTTGTAAGTTGGAGCGTCTACACTCGCTCGCTCGCTTGCTCGCACTGCCTTCAGCGCCTCCTCCCACTGCTTTTGTTCCCCCAAGTCCTGGCCGTTAATCCCCACTCTCCTGGCTGAGGGCAACAGAGAATATCTGACTCCATTCTGCTCTCTGATCTCTTAGCCAAACTTCTGCCCAGACGACTTTTTCCAGCCCTGTCTCAGGGAGACGTGGTCCTGCTCTCTATGCCAGCCTCGCCTTTTGCTGATCTCTCCCTCTCCGTTAGAGTTTTCCGAATTAAAAGGAGAGTCTCTGCCGCCTACCTTTGGACGGGAGGGGCCGATCCAAGCAGAAAAGCGTCTCATTCTCGATGCCTAGTTCGCAGGGCAGAGTGATGTTGCTCCCATTCACAAGGAAGCTGTCGATCGCATCCATCCTTGCCTGCTGCTCTCCACCCAGTGCTGGCGAGCGGGTGAATTGCTCACTGTCACTCATGCCTCTGAGGACCCGAGCCCCGAGCGTCTCCCAGATGCGACCTGCCGTGGAGGGGCAGGGAGGGAGGGTCCTCCAGGTGTGGGCTTTTCCAGCCATTCCTCCAGGAGACTTGAGTTCACTACGCTCAGGCCAGCTGGGCAAGCAGTTGCACTCCTGTCTTGGAAAAGGCAGCCAATGCAAGCCAAGCCCGCTCCACCTTCCAGGCCCACCCCTCCCGCTCCTGGGCCAGCCCTGGGGCCCTGAGCATAGCCTGGCCGGGAGTTAACCCTTCCCAAAGTGTCGCTGCTTTTACACACACATGCACGCACACGTGGACACACACACACACACACACACACACACACACGGCCACAAGCGCACATACACACACTCCCCCAGTCCCTCTGGTCTCTGCATAGGAACCTGTCCACCATCCCAGACATAGGCAGAATGAGGCCCAAACTGGCTGTGTGAGACAGGAACAATTAACACGGTAACAGATATGATAATGCAGACCATCAGGACTAAAGGACACGGAGGGGCTGTGCTTCTGCCTCCTTATAGAAAAGCAATTAGTGCCTTTTAGCTTTGGAACCATGCCCAGCCGTGTGTGTGCATATAACTGCCGGCTGGTTGTTACCAACCACAGTGTTATTTCTGTGCTCTCTGCCCTTGTTAACCGAAAGGAGGGGGTAGTTTTGAGTAGAGGTTCCTGGAACCGTATTACAAAAATTTTTTTGCAAGATTTCCCATTCTTTTATTCATGTTTGTATTGGTTCATCCATTCAGCACATATTTGTTGAGAGTCATCATTCTCCAGGCACTTTTCTAGGCCCATAAGCAAATAATGAACAAGATTATGTCAGATTGAGTTACGCACCACAAGGGGAGTAAGGCAGGAAGACGTGGTGGAGAGGAATGGACTGAGGGTGCTGATGGAGATGGAGTGGTCAGGAAAGATCCTGGAGGAGAGAACCAGGATCTGAGACCCGGTGACAAGGAGGGGGAAGCTGGGGAAGATCTGGAGAAAGCATCGGGGCAGGAGGAACAGTAAGTGCAAGGGCGCTGAGGTGGGAAGGAGCTTGACTTGTTTGAGGAAGGGATGGAAGCGGGAGTGAATGAGGGTCACACAGGGGGAGGGGAGGTTAGAGAGGGGGATGCACTGGGAGGATTGGGTTTTCTATGAAGCTCTGTGGTTTTGAAAGCCCCTTAATGCCCATCACGCAGAGGGCTCCTCAGTTTAGACCTCTGGGAAAGCAGGCAATAGCAGGACCCCTGTTTTTGACATCTGCTTGGTTGGGCTGAAACTTGGTCCATTGGATAGATACCTCTGGGTCCCCTTGTGTACTGACAATCTCTCAGTCAACAGAGCTACACACTCTGTCCTGCTGAATCCCTGCTGGACACAGATGAACTCAATGAGACGTCTTTACCATCAAGGCTCAGATGTAGGGCTGGGAAGACGGTGACACCTCTTTTCTTTGAAACCATGACCATCTCATGTTTCAGGCACTTTTTCATGGACACCAGGAGTGGAAGAAACATTGGAGAAGCAGGCAGTAGCTATTAAGAGGCTTTGGTGTTAGGCCTGTGATCAAATCCTGGTCTCACTGGGTACCTGCTGGGCACTAGGCAAATTTCTTTCTTTAAAAAAAATATATTTCTTAATTGATTTCAGAGAGGGAAAGAGAGATAAAAGCATCACTGATGAGCAAGAATCACTGATCGGCTGCCTCCTGTACACTGCACACCACACAATGGGGATCAAACCCGCAACCCGGGCATGTGCCCTGATCAGGAATCGAACCATGACCTCCTGGTTCATAGGTCAGTGCTCAACCACTGAGCCATGCTGGCCAGGTAGGCAGGTTTCTTAGCCTCTCTAAGACTCATTTCCTTCATCTGTCAAATGGGGAAGAAAATGACTTCATAGATATTTGTTACGGAGATGGACTGATTGCCTCCAGGCACTACCTGACACAGAACATGTTCAGTAAATCACAGGTAGTATTATTAGCCACCTAACAATCACTATTATTTATTTTATGCACAAGGAAACTGAGACGCAGAGTGGCCACGTGGTTTGCTGGAGAGAACCAGCGGTAGATGCCCCCCAAGTGGACCCGCAGCCCATCCTCGCACCACTTCCTGTAGCATGAAGCTTTCTTCATTATCCTAGTGCCCTGCAGCCCCCTGGAGCCAGGATGCCTGTCTCTGCGCCTCCTACCAGCCACTCGTCCTGCTGGCTGGCTCTTCCCAGGGTGCGGATGGAGACGGACCCCGCCCTCGGAGGGGACAGAGTGCAGAAACAATCAGGTACAGCTACATTCCACCCCCCTGCCGGTCCCAAGGGCTGGCTGCCGTGAGTGCTTCCCCTGGGCAGAGGGTGCCTCCCTCGAAGGGTCATCCAGCCTGCTGCCCCCATAGTTGTGGGGAGCCTGCTGCTGCGTCCAAGGCAGAGGTGCAGAGGGCAAGGCTTGACCTGCCCTGGCCTGAAACGGACAGAGCCCAATTTGGGATAAGCTTCTTCCTTCCCTTCTTCCCTCCCCTCATTCCTTCCTTTCTCTCTCCCCCCCTTTCCTCTCTCCACATTCCTATTCCATTCTGGGGAGGAGTGGGCAGGCATGGGGGTGGAGGGGGTTAGGAGGGCAGGTGCTACAGGTTTTGTAAACTCACAGGAGTGAATGTGGCACGTTTGAGTGCTGTGCTTTAGAGGCTTTCGTGCGTATCTGAACCACAGGCGAGTGGTTGAAGAATGTGGATTCCAGGCCCCTCCCAGAGGCCTGGGAGTCTGCACTTTTATCCTGCATCCCTGGCGATTCAGACGGAGGCCAGTGACCACAGGGCCACCTCTCAGGAAGCTCCTTGCAAGGCACGATGAGGGTGAGCACAGGTGTCAGACTGCAGGAACCTAAGCCTGGTCTTCACCACCAGCTGTGGGACATGAACAAATTACTTCACCTTTCTGTCTCAGCGCGCTCAGCTGCAGAATGTGCATAATAACTCAATGCTACCTGTAAACAAAGCCCTAGCCCAGTGATGGCGAACCTTTTGAGCTCGGCGTGTCAGCATTTTGAAAAACCCTAACTTAACTCTGGTGCCGTGTCACATATAGAAATTTTTTGATATTTGCAACCATAGTAAAAGAAGGACTTATATTTTTGATATTTATTTTATATATTTAAATGCCATTTAACAAAGGAAAATCAACCAAAAAAATGAGTTCTCGTGTCACCTCTGACACGCGTGTCATAGGTTCGCCATCACTGCCCTAGCCAGATTGGCTCAGTGGATAGATCGTCAACCTGCGGACCAAAGGGTCCTGGGTTTGATTCTGGTTAAGGGCAAGTACCTCGGTTGCAGGCTCCTTCCTGGCCTGGGCCCTGGTCCAAGCTTGTGCATGAGGCAACCTATAGATGTGTTTCTCTCACATCAATATTTCTCTCTGTCTTTCCCTCTATCTTCCACTGTCTCTAAAAATCAATGGAAAAATATCCTCAAGTGAGGATTAAAAAAACTAAAAGCCACACGGGGAGAGCACTTACTAATAGAACAACACCTGGAACATAGCACTGGACACTCACTTATTATTAGTGCATTATGATTAATTCCAGGGATGCTCTATTTACCCCCTTGATCATGGCCAGGTTAAGGGTCTGTATCTCCAGGACCCTAGCACAGTGCTTGGCATATAGTATGTGTTTGGGAAATATACATGCATAAAGAGAAAACATTAGGAGAGCCAATACTTGCTTGCTTATTATATCCTTTTATAACTCTGTTGCATGGGTTATTTTTCCTGGCCCACTCTGGATTTTTCACTCTGAGTTTCTGAGCCAGGATTACCATAGCTTTTAACTAAAAAAGAGAGAATTCAAGGAGAGACGTGAGGGCTTTCAAGGGAAGAGGTGATGCGTTTTCCAGGGTGGTAGCCCTCATTTCATTCTTCAACACACACTTATTAGATACCTTCTAAGTGCCAGGCACTGTGCCAGGTGCTGAGGGCAAGCCATGAGCCAAGTAGATGGAAATTCTCAGTCCATCCCAGGAGACAGGCGATAAATAGACTGGGTGAAATGACAGGGCCCCTCTTGCCTCGAGCCCTATCCTCTGATTGGGCACCGTTCCTGGCAAATTGATATTAAGTTACTAAAGTGAGGTGAAACGGTGCAAGGCCCGCCTCTCACTCCCAGACACACAGTGCTGGGCTGAGCGTGAGCCCGGGTGCCTCCTCCAGTCTTTGGGTGTTGGGGACTCATCTCTGGCAACTACTGCCCCAGGAGGACGGAACACGAGCAATCTTGGTGGGTTCCTGGCTAAGGAAATCCATAGCTGCTCCCCAAACCATTCTCCATCTTATCACCTACAAGATGGATATGTATTTTTTATTCATCCTATCTAATAAAGAGGGAATATGCTAATTGACTGCCATGCCCTCAAAGATGGCAGTGCCCACCTCCACAAGATGGCCAGCAGGGGAGGGCTGTTATGAGTGACTAGGCAGGCAGGGGAGGGCAGTTAGGGGTGACCAGGACTGCAGGGGAGGGCAGTTAGGGGTGACCAGGCCGGCAGGGGAGGGCAGTTGGAGGCGATCGGGCTGGCAGGGGAGCAGTTAGGCGTCGATCAGGCTGGCAGGGTAGTGGTTAGGGGTGATCAGGCTGGCAGGCAGAGGCAGTTAGAGGCAATCAGGCAGGCAGGCAGGTGCATGGTTTGGAGCTAGCAGTCCTGGATTGTGAGAGGGATGTCTGACAGGGATCGGGCCTAAACTGGCAGTTGGACATCCCCTGAGGGGTCCCAGATTGGAGAGGGTGCAGGCTGGGCTGAGGGACACCCTCTCCCCTCCCCCAGTGCACGAATTTCATCCACCAGGCCTCTAGTTATAACATGAATCACATGCTCACGGGCCCTTTTTTTTTTTTTTTTGAAGTGGAGAAAAGTATATAAGTGTAAATGTAACACAAATTTCAGGGCTCCACCTGATTTATATTTTTAATTTCATTTTCTTTAAATATATTTTTTTATTGATTGCAGAGAGGAAGGGAGAGAGAGAAAGAAAGATAGAAACATCAATGATGAGAGGGAATCATTGATTGGCTGCCTCCTGTATGCCCCCCACTGGGGATCGAGCCCACAACCCAGCCCACATGCCCCTGATTGGAACTGAACCTGGGACCCCTCAGTCTGCAGGTCGACGCTCTATCTACTGAGCCAAACCAGCTAGGGCTTTAATTTCATTTTTTTAATTACAGTTGATATTCAGTATTATTTTGTATTAGCTTCAGGTATACA